GGCAGGGAGCACCCTTGGGCGTGCGGGGTTCTCAGCGCTGTAGAGGGGGTGAAGGCTGAAGTCCAAGACACCTTGTTCGGTATTTCTGGAGGAGGAACCCAGCCTCGGGACGAGATGACGGGGGAGGGGCAGGGGCGGCCAGGGCAGTCACCCCTGTGCTTTTCTGACTTCTTAGCTCCCAGAGCCCAGCGTACACGGTGGCAGCAGCAGACCTGGCCAGGTGCTGAGCCGCGGAGTCCGAGCAATGTCGCTGCAGACAGGTACCTGCCCACGGTGGGGCGGCGCTGGCAGGGCAGGTGACGGGGTGGGCCGTCCGCGCTCCTGTGGCTGCGGGGACTCGTCCCTCTCCTGTTCTTGGAGCTGGGCAGGTAAGATGGTGCCCACCTGGAGTCAGTTCCCTGCCAAAGAGCCTTTCTCCTGCACCGTGGTGCATCCCCAGTACAGCCCAGTAAAGTTCGGGCTCCATCTTACAGAAACTGAGGCAGGAGAGAGAGGGCTCCCCAGGTGAACAAGGGTGCACCTCTTAAAGCTCTTGGGCGCCTCTTGGGGTCAGTGTGGAGAACAGAGAAGGCTGGACGCGACTCAGAGACCTGGTGGTGGCTGCGGACCTCCAGCTCTGCGCCAATGGGGTGGGGCGTGGGGGCAGCTAGAGAGGCCAGCACTGCAGGGGTGAGAGGATCCCCCAAGCCTGCCTGCTCAGTCAGCTCGTAGGGGCGGAAGCTGAGCCCTCAGCCCAGCAGTCCCAGGCTCGGGCGGCGCCTCCGCTGGCCCATGGGAGCCCCTCAGCCCTCCCTCTCACTGCCCACAGTGCTCCTGCTGGCCCTGGCGGCCCAGGCGCTGGGGCTGGAGAACGGGCTTCTGCGGAGACCACCCATGGGCTGGCTGGCCTGGGAGCGCTTCCGCTGCAACATCGACTGTGCCGAGGACCCACAGAACTGCATCAGGTGAGGCGGCCACAGCCCCAGTGGGGGCAGGGATGGTGCCAGCTGGGAAGGAGGCAGGCCAGAGGCCCCCACGGAGCCTGCAGCCAGAGTGCACCCCCCCCCCCCCCCCCGGTCTTGTGACCTGGGGCCTCAGCAGTTGTGAGCACAGCCCCTGAGGTAATCAAAAGGAGGTAAGTGTGAAGATAAGCCCAGACCTGCCAGGCCTTGACCCCTGCCACGCCTCCCTGCTGTCCCAGGACACAACCCCCTGAGTTACTTTGCTTGTCTGGCGAGTCTTCAGCTGACAGCTGGCCTTGGGTCTTCTGACCTGGATTCACACTCAGAACACCTGAGAAGTCTGAACAGCACTGGGGGGGGCGGGTGAGGCCCCCCCACCCACTTACCTGCCCCTCTCCTGCCCTCGCCAGCGAGAAGCTCATCATGGAAATGGCCGACCGGCTGGCCCAGGATGGTTGGCGCGACCTGGGCTACACGTACCTCAACATTGACGACTGCTGGAGTGGGGGCCGTGACGCCCAAGGCCGCCTGGTGCCTGACCACAAGCGCTTCCCCAACGGCATCGCCTTCCTGGCCGACTACGTAAGTGCCTTTCCCTGCCGGACGCAACTGAATGGTGTGGCCCGCTGTGGTGGGTGAGAGCCTGGAAGGGCGCCCTCTCCAGGCCCGGGTTTCAGGGAACTCCTCCAGAAGAGCAGGAGCAGGAGCTGGCACTCCGGGGGGAGGGGCAAGGGGGCAAGGGCCTGAAGACCAGCGGAGTCCCTACCACAGCAGGGAGCCACAGAAGTCACCTGACCTGGTCAGACATGCCCTAAGCCCCCCCGCGCCTCCCCCACAGGCTCACTCCCTGGGCCTGAAGCTGGGCATCTACGGGGACTTGGGCAACTTCACCTGCATGGGCTACCCGGGCACCACGCTGGACAAGGTGACCCAGGATGCTGAGACCTTCGCTGAATGGAAGGTGGACATGCTGAAGCTGGACGGCTGCTACTCGACCCACGAGGAACGGGCAATAGGTGGGTCCCACAGTGGCTGGCCACCAAGGGACAGGAGGGTGGCCCTGGAAGGCCCAGCCGTGGAGCCCCGTTCTCACTGGGCCAGGGGGTCTTGGCTCCCAACCTCCAGGTGGGCTCACACTGTGCCCCTGCACAGGAAGTGTCTGCAGGCAGCCCTCTTTGCGCCTCCATTTCCTCCCATCTTGGTTGGGAGAGATTTGGGCTGAGACCCGTTTCTTCACGTGGCGCCTGTCCTGACACGTGGGGGTTACACTTCTCTAGGGTACCCCAAGATGGCTGCTGCCCTGAATGCCACTGGCCGCCCCATTGCCTTCTCCTGCAGCTGGCCAGCCTATGAAGGGGGTCTCCCCCCTAAGGTAAGCTACGCCAGCTTCAAGGCCCCTCCCCAACCAACACCCCCCTCCAGGTGTCCAGGACATGCTCACCCAAGTGCGGCTTCGTAGGGCCATCTGTACAGGGCGGGGTCCTCGGCCAGCTGGGGTCTTGCAGACCAGCAGGCCTTGGTTGGGGCTGAGGGGTTGGGCCTTTGAGGTACGGGGGCCACCTGGCACGCCAGCCCTGCCCAGAGCAGGCCAGCCAGCCCCTGGCTATGCTGAGTGGTGGGGAGAGCTGTGTGCTGAGGACAGGCAGATGGGGCCCAGCCCGCCAGGGCCCTCCAGCACTAGGTGCCGGAAGAGGTCAAGCATGCAGGCCAGTGTGCAGGCCAAGGGCAGCTCTCACTGTCCCTGGCTTGGCACAGCTGGCGTGAGGGCAGATGCGCTTCTGGGACCAGCACACGTGGCCCCTGCCCTCACCATGTCCCCTGCTGTGCCTGTCCCTGCCCTCACTGTATCCCCTGCTGCGCCTCCCCAGCTTGGCCTCCGGGCTGCTGGGTGCTGTGCATGTGACTGGGCGCTGCCCCCATCAGGTGAACTACAGCCTGCTGGCAAACATCTGCAACCTGTGGCGCAACTATGAGGACATCCAGGACTCCTGGGAGAGTGTGTTGTCCATCTTGGACTGGTTTGTGAAACACCAGGACGTACTGCAGCCGAAGGCGGGCCCTGGACACTGGAACGACCCAGACATGGTACCAGCGTGGGCCTGCCCCCCTCACCCCCCCCCATCACTTCCTGCTTCTAGAACAGTCTCTGGGGCAAGCCCTGAGCCAGCCGCCTTGGGTTCACCTTGGGAGCTGGTTTCCAGCTGTTCCCCAGGCCCGGCCCACACCCCTGGGGTCAGACGGTCAGGGAGCTTAGGGAGGCTCATGGTTAAAGGATCATCCCTGCTGTTGCTGGCAACTTGAGAACAACCTGCGAGCTCGTGCAGGACCTTCCTCTGGGGCCAGTCACGGCTGTCCACCCTCAACCACTCCCTCACTGTCCTCGCTGTCCCCTGCTGAAGACCCCCTGCGGATGAGCTGGCCTCCCACACCTCCCACACACACAGCCCTGCGACACCTCCTCGTGTAGTTCCAGCCGCTTCTTCGCTTAGCCAGGAAGCACTTACTACTGGTGACAATCATAGTGATTACTAGGCCTGACGGAGAGGCGTGTCTGCTGGACAGAAACCAGCTGCCCAAGGGCCCCAGCCCATGCTTCCTTTAAAACTCGGCACAGCCTGGACCTGCGCTGGCCAGTACTGTCGCTAAACGTGACCTTGAGCCTCAGTGGTAACCACTGGGGTCTGGCTGTGGGCCCACTGCCTGGGGTCCCCGCTGTCCAGGCGCGGCTCGGCGGGAACAGGACTGCATGGGGCTGGCTTCCACCCCACCACCCAGCTGTCCTTCATTCCCTGCATCTCCAGTGACAGGTGTTTGGCGACAGCCCCACTGGTCTTCTGAGCAGCCTGGCACCTCTGGGTGGATGATCGCCCACTTTCTTGCCGACACACAACACTGAGGCTCAGCTAGAAAGGGACTGAGTCTGAGGCCATGCCCTGGGCGGTGGTGCTCGAGGCCCTTCTCCAGCCCGACGCCTTTGCTCTCCTCTGCCCCCCAGCTGCTCATTGGGAACTTTGGCCTCAGCCTGGAGCAAGCCCAGTCCCAGATGGCCCTGTGGACAGTGCTGGCAGCCCCCCTCTTTATGTCCACGGATCTGCGGACCATCTCCCCCCAGAACATGGACATTCTGCAGAACCCACTCATGATCAAAATCAACCAGGATCCCCTGGGCATCCAGGGACGCAGGATTCTCAAGGTACTGGCTGTGGAGGAGCAACAGGGATGAGGAACTGGGACCCGAGAAGGCTGCAGGCCTGGGGAGATGGACTCTGAAGTCCGCCTGGCACCCTCCCGGCTGCTTTCAGTCAAGGTCTCAGCTGGGAGCTGTGCCAGCCGTCCCCACCTGCCAGGCGAGAGCAGGGCCACTCCAGGAGCCTGGGTGACCTCGCCGCTCAAGCGCACATGGGGACAGGCATGCGCCTGTGGTGGCCGGGGCTGCCCCAGCGTGTTGGGAAAACACCCGGTCCTTGGCCGCCACTGCTCGTGGGGCAGCTGCGTGTGCCGTCTTACAGATGAGGAGACGGAGCTCTGCAGAGTCTAAGGCGCGGCCTCGGGCCACACCCCCAAGGCCCACCCTGCAGCTCCTCGGGCCAAATGGCAGGTGGCGCTTTTTCAAGTGCTGAGCCGGGAGCCTGCAGAGCTGCTGGTGGAGCCGGACAGGCCTCCCCTGGTGGCCCCTCGGGGCAGAGGTCTTTACACCCTCGGGACCGCCCCCCAGCCGCCTGCCCCCCCATTGTCCTGTGACGGAGAGCAACTGCTGAGTCAGGGAAGGAAACTGGGTTAGATAAGTCGGGGTGCTGAAGAGCTGTGGACTCTCCCCAAGCTTCTTTGGGACCCAGCACCCAGGGGAGGGCTGGGCAGGCGACTTGGGCCTGCCTGAGCGGCCCTCTTCTGTGCCAGGACAAGTCCAACATCGAGGTGTTCCTACGGCCCCTGGCCAGCGAGGCCTACGCCCTGGTCTTCTTCAGCCGCCGGACGGACATGCCTTACCGCTACCATACCTCCCTCGCCCAGCTGAGCCTCACCAGCACCAAGCTGTACGAGGTATGTGCCCTGCTGCCCGCGCTCCAGGGGCGGGGTCCTTGGGCGGGTGCCAACAGGCAGCTGCAGGACCTGTTGCTGGGGGCTGTTCCCCACAGGGAGGCCTCAGGCTGAGCACCGGGACTGCTCACACCTACCAGCCCTTGCCAGCGCCTGCCTCAGGCTCTCACGGGCTGGGCTTTCCCGGCCTGCCTTTGGCCACCTGTCGGCTTTGGGGTTGAACTAATGGGGAGACTCAGGCACCCGCTTTGGGAGGGCACAGCGGAAGTGCAACAGGGTCCAGGAGTGGACATCCCCGAGGGGTCGCCACACAGCCTCTTACAGGCCTTGCTGCTATTCACTCCCCCCGCCCCCCACCGCTGCAGGCCCAGAATGTCTACACGGGAGACGTCATCAGTGGCCTCCAGGATAAAACCAACTTCACAGTGGTCGTCAACCCTTCGGGTGTGGTGATGTGGTACCTGTATCCCGTCAGGAAGCTGAGATGGCCCCAGGATTGAGAAGTGGGGGTGCGTGACAGGCTGCAGTGGCCCCACAGCCTGGACTAGGAGCCGGCGGGCTCCTCTGCAACCCCAACAGACCCCAAGTTCCACACCCAGCCCACACGTGAGCCATTGTGGAAATCTGGGTGATTCCCTCCGCCTTCCCGGCCTCACCCACAGATGTCGCTGGACAACTCGGCCAGCACGTGGGTCCTCACAGGCCACAACAAGATGCCCGTTGGCATTCCAGCCTCTGGCCGTTTTGCTGACTCTGAAATTGGGTGTTGGAAATGGGCCTGACCTCTACCAGGATTGCCCACGGGTCGTGCCTGGCTGAGACGGCCTGGCCAGCTGACGCTGGGGGCGTAACCCAGTGCCCTGGTGGTCACCAATAAAGCCGTTCTTTGGTCAAGTGCTACAATGTAGATCTGGGGCCACAGCACTTTCAGCAAGTGGATCCTTGGGGCAGCCCATGGGTGCCCGTTTCCTCACATCCATGCTGACTGGCACCCTATGGCCCATGCTTTGCAGAGGGACCTGCCAGACAGGCCAGGTGCCCCCCAGGAAGCCACCCCTGCCCTCCTGCCCTGCCTGACAGAGGCAGTGCTGTCACCAGCCCTGGGCACCCCTTCCTCACCTGGTTCGATGTCCCAGGGTCTGCAGGCCCCGTGCGGCTCCTCAGGTCCGTGCTGCTTGGCAGAAGTGTCTGGAAGGACTTTGCATCATTTCCTGTGCTGCCTTTCAGCTTGTGCCATTCCTAACAGGGCTTCGTTCAGCAGCGCTCTGTGGCTGGGCGCCTGAGGGTCAGCCTTGCTCCCACAGGACCCTGCAGCTGCCTTCTCCCCGGTTTCTCCCCTGCAGGCAGTGGGGTTCCACCCCAGATGTGCTCGCTGCCACGTCCAGCATCTGTGTCCACACTTCCTGCTGCCCTCCTGGGCTGCCTGCCTCGGGCCCTGCTTCCCAAACCCTTCAGCAGAGCCCTAGGCACCGGCCTCCCAGGCCACTCCTGCCCACACGTGGGGAGCTGGCAGGGGCCAGCGAGGGAGCACTCCGTCACCCGGGTACAGCCCGGGCCTGCGCGCTCCCGCCCCGCAGGAGCCCTCCTGTGTAGACGCCCCAACCCTGGGTTGGAGGCCCCTGCAGAAAATTCAGGATAAAGAATCTTGGTTTCCTTTTACTGGCGCTTCACCCTTGGTCCTGGGTGCCGAGGCCGTGGTCACTCAGGAGGGCAGACGCGTCCTCGTGGACACCTGCCATAGCGCAGCTCAGTTCTGGTCTTGGTGAGAGCTGCTCGTGCAGACGCAGTTCTCGGTGGGACTCTCCTGCCAGCCCCAGGAAAGGCCCTCTCATGCCTGGCCTACGGTGGCCAGCGGTCAAGCCCACGGGCTTGGGTCAGGCCCCGCCTGCTCCCTGATTTCCGGACGAGATACGGCTCATGCTCTCCCCTGCGTGAGGTGTTCTCCTGTCGTCCAATCTCTCTCCAGGCTCCATTCGCCACACCCCTGCTAGCCTTCGGGGATGTGGTTTCGCTCCATTTTCCCAACTCAGGTTAGGAACTCCATTACTTCTCCCAGCTCAAGGTAACCTGGTTTGAACGCAAAGGCATCCCCTTCTCTTTCTAGAAGCTTCTTGGTATAGACATTTTCAAACAAAAACAAAACGCCGTCAACCTCCATTTACCCGCCACACAGCTCCTGTGGCCGCCAGTGTGTTCTCACTTTGTGCCCTCCCACACACACTTGCGACGCGTGCGGGTGCGCGACAGCAATGTCAGAACGCTCGACACCACAATTCCAACAGACGGGACTGACGTTTAAAAACATACGACCTGAATAAAATTTTCCACCCAACAAAATCGACTTTAAAATAACCTAATAGCCAATCTACTCATTTTTGCCAACTGTCTCAAAAATACCTTTCTATGCTCGCTTGAAACTGACCCAAGCCAGGGGTCAACAAGAGTGGTCCAGTAAAAGCCACCACATGCTTGCTCCTCTACAAAAGCCATGGAGAACCTGCCACATCTTTTCAGAATTAGCTGTCACAAGAGGCAACCAGAGACGGTACTCGGGCAGACCGCAAGCTGTCGCCACGCCAGCCTTCAGGCTGGCGACTGGAACACGCCAGAGCCCGCCAGACCCCGCCAGACCCCGCCAGACCGGGCTAAGGGAGAACGGGACGTCGACCACAGCGTCTTGGCGGAGCGGAGGCCGAGTGTTGTCTTCGCACTCAGAGGCCGCCTGACCGTGGACCGGCGTGGGTCCTTCATCCGGGGAAATTCTCAGCCGTCATTACTTCGAGCGTTTCTTCTGCCCCCTCCCGTGCCCGGTCCGGCCACCCACCGTCCTGGCCGGGCCCCCTTGCCATTCTCCCTGCTGCAGCTGGGAGGCGGCTGTCGGCTGTCGGCGAGTCTCTCCACAGCCATTTCGGCTACTGATGATCCCAGCAAAGTTGACTGTTACCGCGGGTTTGATTTCGGACATTTTCTTTGATTCTTTGAGTTACCATGGCCGCGTACATCGCCCGTCTCTGTGTGTGTGGTCTACTCTGCCTCCAGACCCTAGCTGCCAGTCAGTTGCTTCAAATTCCCAGTCTGGTGACCCCACACCGTAGCCATGGCTGAGACTTCCTGCTCTGCCAGCTGCGCCATCTTTGAACATGCGTTAGTTATGAGAAACACCAGGTAAAGGAACTGAGGCAGAAAGGCCTTCTGTTGGGCTCAGAATTAGCTGCTCACGCCTGCTAGCGCTGTAGGAGCTGCAGGCTAACATCTCTGGCATCCTTGTTTTGTCTTCTGTTTTCCCAGATTTTTCTGAAGCAGGCCTGAGAGGTGGGTTTCTCCCGCAGAGTGGCTGCCGTGAAGGTGCCCAGCTGCTGTGGTGCCGACACTTCGGGGAAGGGAAGTGCAGAGCCTGACTAGCCTTGCTCCTGGCCTGCACTGCGCCCCAGCTGATGGGCTTCTCCTGCTCTTGGTCCAGGCAAAGGCCCCAGGGCTGGACTCGAACTGCCCCCCTCCCCTCCAAAATAAGGCTGGAAGGCATGGAGCTGGGGCCCATCTCCTGCCAAGGGGTGAGGTGCCAGTCAGCCTGCTTAAACACAACAGCATGCCGGGTGCTTTAAACCCTTACCATTCCAGCCACCTGCTGACAGCACCGGGCCCCTCACTGCTTGCCGTGGGGAGCGCGCTCCTGGGGGTACTCTCTCAGAGATTGGGCTCGATGTGAGGCTGGATTCCCCGGAAATGTCCTCTCGAGTCAGTCTCCGCAGAGCCTCGGCAGCTCCTCAGTGTGCACGGCCCCCCGTGGCTACCCTCCAGCTGGGAGCTGTGACTGTCCCCCGGCTCATCCATGCGGGGCGGAGGTAGTGGTCAGCCCTGTGACTCACTTCTTTGACAGCGCTAAGAAAATGGAGAGTCGACTTGTTCAGCTTTTTCTTGCTCTGATGATGGCAGTGGTGACTGCCTTGCCCCTCTGCTGGACTAGAAAGCCCTATGTCCTTTCCGGGACTCGGTCTGTGGAGCAACAGGATGTGAAGCGAGAACACCTGGGCAAGGCAGCCCCTGACCAGCCAAGCAATCTTCGGCAGGGCCCCAAGACGACACAGGCACCCCCAGGAAGCCCCAGGGCCAGCACCAGCTGCGCAGAGCCCTGTGCGCCTTTGCCAGGCGTCTGTCCAATTAGTCAGCAGGGAAAAGCTAAGGGTAATGCCAGAAATGGGTCTGAGAGAAATTCAAGTTTGAGAAGAAATATTTCTCAAGTAGTTTCCAAAAACAGCTATGGCAAGGCCCAACACGCTCCCGGCCCAGGAACAGTGAGGGGGTCCGAGCAGGCAGCAGGAGCCCAGACCACCCCCCAGGGGAGCGCTCAGGGTGGCGACCCTGCCTGCCTCCCTAAGCTCCGAGGTGGTGGGGCCCCCAGCAGGAAGGACACTTGCAAACCTCGCAGAACGGTCACTCTGGGCGGTCTGTGTTCTAGGGCAGGGCCACAGAGCAGCCCAGGAGCACTTGGCTCAAGTGGTCTGCGGGAGCCCAGAGCCCAACGGGGCAGCACAGTGGACACATGGTCAGCCCACAGGCTCGCAGTTCATCTGGCCTCTGCACCGAGCTGCAGAACGGGCTTCCCAGGCTTGGGCTAATGCCCCTCTCCCCTGCAGCAAGGCCAGGAGAGGCCAGCGGAACACGGGCGGGCCAGCCAGAAAGCCGAGCGCAGGCACGCCCACGCCGTCCTACCGGGTCATCCCAAGGGGTGGCGCCACGCAGTGCCCATCACAGGTGCCTCAGACACAGCAGGGTGTGTGACAGCAAGCAGCTTTAATGGGGGGCAGAGCCAGGCGAGACCAGCCTCTTCTCTCTCCTCCTCAGGACAGGGCAGCAAGGAGGCTCTCCTCACACAGCCCCAGAAAGCAGCCTCCGTCCCCGGGCCAGAGCCGTGTGGCCAGCCTTACCTGGCTTTCAAGCATCCTCCTGTCTTGAGAAACGGGGTCTCCTCAGGTCACCTGTGTGCAGCACGAGGTGTGAGGGGAGGCAGCTGGGAAGGAAGTTGCCTCTGCGCCAGCCGCTCCCGCTGCCCAAACGCGCTCCCCTCGCCTTCCTCCTTGGTTCCTCGAGAACCTGCTGGGCGGACCTGCTCCAGAGGCCCGTGCCCACTGTCCCGCCCGCTGCTTCCCAGCTCCCCGACTGGGCTCTGGGCCTTCTCCCGCTCCTCCCCACTTCTGCTTTTCCTTCTCTGCAGCCTGACTGCCGAGTTACAGAACTTGGAATATCGACTTCCGGCTGTTCTGGTGTCAGCAGAGAAGGAATGTTCGCGTTGCGTCACCGATACGCCAGGAGCACAGACGGGGCGGGCGAGACGCTCACTGAGCGCGTGACGCCAGGGAAGCCGCCTCCAGCCTCCTGGCACCTACCCCGCTGCCTCGCTCCCCGACCCTGGGCCCGCCCTGCTGGGCTGTGCGCGTACTGGACGATGAGCACAGGGCCGGCCGCTGGCACAGCGCTGCCCTGCACGCGCTTCACCTTCCGTGCTGCAAGAACCGCCCACTTGGGGGCGTCGCGCAGGGACCTAATCAGCAGAGCCACCAAGTGCGGGCTGTGGTGAGGCCATGAGCTGGTCTCAGCCCCCCCCCCCCCAGCCGGCGACCTTGCGGCAGCTGGTTTCACCCAGTCACACACAGCAGAAGGCCTGGTCTCAGCCTCTGGCCCTGCACTGTCCGACAGGCAGTTTGGTCTCCAAACCTCTCACCAACGGCGCCAGGCGCGCAGCAAGCAAAGGGCCTCAACTCACCGGACGCCGCAGACCCGCGGAAGCTCAGCCGCCACCTGCGCCAGTCTCCTCCTGCCGGCAGCCCCTGCGGATGCCAGGCCGCCAGGGAGCAGTGCCCCACTGAGGTGAGCGCGCTGCTCTGGAGGCCGCCTGACCGGGTCCTCCCCACAACTCCACAGTTCTGTCGCCCTCGGGTTCCCAAGGTCTCTGAGTGTTGCCCGCCGCGCAGCAGAACGGAATGGCGGCCGCGCCCCCTGGCAGGACGGCTGTGGGGCGCGAAGTGCAGCTTGTGAAGCCGCTGAGCAAGCCGAGCATGGCACCCAACTGGTCCTCTTTGAGGTGAGTCCCACAGACACACAAACCAGGGCCAGACGCAGGAAGCTGCGAAACAGCCAGGCCGTCAGGACACCTGGGCCGGCCGGCCAGAGAGCACCGCTTTCTTTTAAACCTGAGATCTGAGCTTCTAATCCCGCCCAACCAGCTACCAAACAAAGCTGACTGCAAACCCCGCCAGAGGGAGGCCGGCGCCCAGTGCCGTGCTGTGCACGCGCAGTCAAGGAGCACAAGGGCCTCGTGCCTTCACCCCTCAGCCGACGTCCACCTGCCACGACTGTCCTCGCCCGTCCTGGGCCCGCAGGCCGCGTCCTGCTCTCAGCAGCCTCACGTCATGGGGCCGACGAGCGAGCAAGCGGCCCCGCAGGGACCGTCCCAGCACAGACAGCAGCGTCTCACCAGAACACACAGAGGGAACGTCTAGTTCAGCAGCAGAGAAACTACCCCAGTAGCAGAGTTCAGGGAAGCGTCTCAGAGGTTCCTCGTCGCCTTGAGAGGCGAACAGGACACCATGGGGAGGACACAGTCGCCAGCCACACCCCGCTCGGAGTCCACGCCTCATTCTGCTCGTCCAGATCACGTGGCCGCAGAGGCCACTGGCCGGGGCAGGGGGCACAGGACGCTGAGCACAGGGGTCCTCACATGACACTGCAGGTTCTTGGTAACTGCTACTTTAAGTGAACAACCTATGGTGAAGCCAGTTTTAGCGCAGCTAACTGACAGAAAGAGGAAGGGCCCATGGCTTATTTCCGGTCACAGAAATAGCACCAAACTTCAAATGAAGACCTAACACCCTTCGATACTAAACAATCACCTGTGTTCACTGAGACCTTCACTTTGCCAGCCCACTTATTCTGGCTCAGGGCTAAGGCGGCCAGAGCCTCGTCTCTGGCAGCTCGGGCACAAGGTGGCCTGGCCCAGACAGGTCGCCCTCCCACGCAGGTTCTTCCACGCTCACAGGCCGGGATGGCACGGCATGCTGGGGCCCTGACGTGCCCCATGGATGGGGAGGAAACCTTGCAGACAGGAGACAGTGCCAGCCCCACAGGGCGGCGGTCAGGGCAAGTGTCCCCTCGGTGTTACAATGAGGTGATGTGGGCAGAACTGTTGAATTTAAGAACCTGCCGGACTACTCTGTCCCCTGTATGGTGCACTGCACATGCTTCAAGCTGTGACAGTCAGAGTCATCACCACTTTCCTTTCTTGTTTCTGGTCTTAAGGGGCCTCCCCTACCTCCAGACATCATTTCTGGCGGCCATAATATTCCACTGGATGGCTATCCTGTAATTTATAAAATGCTCACTACTACACATTTAAACCATCAGATCCATGTAAATAATGCTGTGGAAAAAACTAAGTGTTTAACTCACTGCTTCTATAAGAGATGTCTTATGCCTAGAAAACGGAGCATGAATGAATGGGAGAAGGAACAAGGCGGAAGTTTCCTCACACTCAGATTCAAGGAATGTTGAAAATACACCGAATGGCAACCAAATTCCTCAGAAACGAGGCCCACAATCCTGCTTCTCCCTTAACCCGGCTAGTCAAGTGGACTCTGCTTCCAACACTGAGGCAGGGAAGTGTCACTAGCCCCAGAGGACAGCCCTGGCCAAAGGTGGCAGAGATACCTGGGAGAGGTCTTCAAGCCAGTTCCTGAGCCGTCCTTCTTAGCCTGACTTCAATTTTAGGAAGTCACTCTCGCTTGGTGAGTCTTCAAGGTTTACTGCTTAGAAGGCGGAATGTTGGCCTGAGAGGAAGTAGAGGGAGGAGAAGTCTCATTCTCAGCAGGACGCACTACCACAGATTTTTTATTTCTGGCTCTTCTTTCAGCAGGTTCAGGCTCATCTCCCAGTGGTGGGGCTTCGTCTCCGGCAGGCAGGGCTTCATATCCCGCAGGGGCTTCACTCCCTTCAGGGGCGGGTCCATAGCCTGGTGGGGGCGGTCCATAGCCTGGTGGGGGGAATCCATAGCTTGGTGGTGGGGGTACAAAATCTGGTGGTGGGGGCACAAATTCTGGTGGTGGGGGTCCATATCCTGGTGGTGGGGGTCCATATCCCGGATGTGGCGGTCCATATCCGGGTGGGGCGCCGAAGACAAAAACTGGGTATGCTGAAAAGAGAAAGTTAAGTTCCATTACTCCTGGGGACAAGGAACAGTTAGAAGGAAAACGAAAACCTAATGCTGAAGCAACCAGCAACACAGAGCTCACACACACCGACACTACAACTGGACTCCGCAGCCATCACCAAGGAAAACTATCATTTTCTATCATAGGGCTCAACCGAACAGGAAACAACCCTATAGTTACAAATGTACATTTAGAGTTGTGCACATATTTTACTTAATAAGGTGTGTTTTGATTATAGAAAACGAGTATGTGCTCTGAGGAATATGCGTATTTTAAAGACAAGACAAGTCATCATTTATAACCCCATCATCAGACAAAACAAACATTATTTTGTAGGGTATCTGTTAAGACATTTTTAATATTTATTTATGCAGACAAAAACTGGGGTGCAGGCCAGAGGTGCGGGGGTGGGTGTGAGAGGATTCATGAGAGAATGGGGAGCAGAGCAGGTGGGTCTACTGGAACACACTCCAGAGGGGGGCAGCGGGGAGGCAGGAGGGGTCTGCTGCGCCCTGTGGGTCACTCCCTGGCTGAGGGTTGAACTCAGGCTGCAGAGGCTGGCGACAGCTTGGTGGTACTCAGATTTAATCCCTGCACCACCAGGGAAGCCCTTCTGGTGGTTAATATTTTTTGCATAATGATTACAACTTTATGACTTTTTATTTAACGTTGTAAACTTTTCCTTTATATTAACTTACTTCATACATTAAAAGCTGGATAATAGTTTATCATATAGATAGGTGCTACTTAATTCCTGCATTGTAAGAAAACATGTTTCTAATTTTCCATTCAAAAAACACAGAGGCACAAGGCGGGTTCTTTTATTCCCTTGACTACATCTCCAAAGTGATCTAACTAGTAATTATCTTCTCATGACTTTTTTCAAATGGATAGGTGTCATTGTGCTGTAATCCATATTCACGTTTAAACTAGAAAAAGATTCAAAAACTTTAAAGATGCTCAATGAATTAGGGAAAATGGGGAGTCAGGAAAATGATGCACGACGAACAGAACCATCCACAAAGACAGGGAAAGCCAAACCGGAAGGAAATCCTGGCCTTGAAAAGTGCAACTGAAGGACAGAGTCCGTGACAAAGCAGTTGAAGTGACATGCAGCGATGGCCCTAAAATCGATGCCCAATTAATTTTCAGCAAGAACGCCAAGCCAGCCAGTGGAAATGAATCGTTTCTGCAGCAAAGGAAGGCGGGAAAACCGTATAATCTCATGCAAAGTTTAAGCTGGACCTTAGCCTCACTCCCTGTGCAGAAATTCCTAATGAATCAATGATGTAAACGTAAGAACTACAATTATAAAACTTAGATAAAAACGTCAGGGTTCATCTTCACGACACTGGATTTGATGATGTCGAAACCATGGAGACAAAAGCAGGTTGGAGGACCCCTTAGATCTGGCGAGGGGCAAGGAGAAATGCCTCCCTGGTGGTCTCGGGTGCTAGAAATTCGAGATGGCTGATGGCTGCGACTTGTACATTAAATACCACTGAGCTGTGTAGTTTTAACCGATTATGTGGATTTCAACTCGCTAAATTATAAAACCTTAACAATACTTACTTTTAGATTTTGAATGACAGACTTTGATCACGCTTACAAACTAGGGCAGCCATTGAGCTTAGCGGCACACAAAATCTCCAGGCCCACGGGCACGCGCAGGCCGCAGCAGGCGCGAGACTGTCCCGGCAGCCGGAGCCGCCCGCTTTCCGCGTTCGCACAGGCGCCAGGGTAAGCGTGGGGGCGGACGGGCGGGGCTCAGTCTGGACGCGGGTCAGAGCCCACCACTGCCCAGCCCCCGCCCTCCGAACCTCAGCTGCTTCTCCCGCAGCAGCACCAGGGCAAGCTAGCAGTTGATCTTTCAGTTCCTGGAGGAACCCGCCGGGTGTCATTACCTACACAAGGCGCCTGCGAGGTGCACACCATGCTCCCCGGTGCAACGAGTACCGTGAGGCTTCTCAGTGGGACTCCGCGGGCAGCTGAGGAGACAAAACAGGGATCTCTTCATTCTTAAGTACTGCACTGTCAACCAAATAGTTCAGGGACTCGCCACCCCATTGCACGCGTGTCCAACGGTAAGAGAAAGCGATGCATGGCCTGGCCTTGAAAAACCTGCTCTCTGACAGCAGAGACATCGTCCATCTGCCTGTGCTTCTCCACAGCCTCCGCGGCACCCACGATTGGCATTCGGGAAAAAGCAACAGGAGGGCAATCTGCCAAATTGGAAGACGCACCCCCTGCCCCCGGTAGAAGGCAGCACCACACCGAGGAGTGCTGCCAGCCTGTCCCCCATCATGGCCCTCTCCTAAGGATACTCGCGATGGCATCAGATACCCCAGAGTAACCCCATCTCAAAACCCTTAATTATATCTGCAGTGACCCTTTTTACAAATAAGGCTCTGAGGACTCGGACATGGACACGTCTTCGGGAGCCACTGCCAAGCCCCCACGCTGACCTCTTGCTGATGGCATGTAACCCGCGGACTCCGGCCTCCAGCCTGGCCACGAAAACCAGCCAGGTGAGAGCCTGACTCCGGTTGTCTGCTGTTTATCCGAAGAGGCCATGGAAGCCATGTGTTATGACAGCAGAGACGCCGTGACCTGGGCTCTGCAGGACCATGTAGGAGAGAACCCCCTTTGCCCGCTGGCTGGGCTTACACAGCAGTAACGCCTACTGTCTTAAAAAACCACTGGTGACTTGGGTTTGTTTTAAAACTAGCATCTTAACTAATTCATTATAAATCTGAAGTTGCCTTCCTTACCCGCCACCTGCATTTTCAATATCCTACTGAGTATAGCTTCTTGTAATACTTCCTAGAAGCAGAGATCATTTCATTCACTTCTGTATCTGCTTATTTCTTGTATGATTCACCACTCTAGGACTAGCAAAGGCAGGGACACCCGTTGTTTATTGTTGTACTCCCAATCATCTCCCCGAGTGTTTGGCCCAACGGTTATTTGTTAAGAACATGAACCAGTCAACTCTGCAGAGGAGAGGCGGGCACCCTAGGTCAGCCTGGCCCAGGGTCAGAAGGCCTCCAGTGCTGGGGCCCAGAAGAACTCAGTAAGAGGGTAAAGAGGACTCCCGAAAGTTGCCTGACCCTGTGTCCTTAACCCTAAAAATAAGACAGCCCCCCCACTCACTACTGTGGGCCCAAAAAGTAAGAGTGAAATCAAAGTCGCGTTCAAATGTCCTGAGCGCCCCAGAATGACTTCCGAGTGCCTGAGCCGAGTCTTCCCACAGCTGTACGCCCTGTGGCACCAAGACTGTTGGGTCCCAGCCGGGATGAGCCTCCCTAACCACCCCCCAGAGCTTAAGCACAAGATCATAACAGGGAGAAAAACATCCTGTTTTGTCTGCGCCACCTGTGTGAGTTGATCAACCTGTGAGCGGCTGGTCAATATCTGCCTGATCGCAGTGAGGCATGTGAGGGAGACTTCCTCTGGCCCCCAGGCCAACACCCTGGTACTAAGGGTAGAAAAGGGAGTCTGGAGGGAAAAATAGACATTTTGCTGCAACCACCTGTGTGAGCTGCTTCTTCAACCCCGACGTTCCCCGCTCAGACTCTTATCCCTGCCGTGCGGGCGCGGCAAAGATACCCAGTTATTCAATGCTGGCTTCCCAGTGCTGGGTGCTGCTTATGAAATCCTCGCCTTCCTACCTTTGCAGTGCATCAGTAAAGGTAACACAAAAATGTCTTACTCATCCGGCCTCCTGCACCAGGGCTGTTAAGCCACCTTTCTTCCCCAGCATTTCACTAGACTCCTCTTGCCAAAACTGCCACCAAATTCAAGTTCCACTGGTAATGCACACAATTCAGTTTTCATTTTGCCGAACATCTCTGCAACAGCTGACACAGATGAATGCCCAATAATGCTTAAAACTTTCTCCTCCCTTGACTTCTGGATAATAAGCTACCTACCTTTCAACAGCCCCACTCAATCTTCACTGCAAGCTCACTCTCCCTGGCCAGTCCGTGCCGGTCGAGGACTGCTGTCTCTCATTCCTGAGTAAGCCCGTCGCTCACATGTTCCAGAGAAGCTCTGGCAAACGGTTTCCAAGTCAGTATCCAGACAGTTCCTCTCTGAAGCGCAGCTGCCGCCCCCCCCCAGCCTTCCGCGTACCTCGCACCGGGCCTGTGCCAGGGCAAGAGGACGTGGCATCACTGACCCAGTGTTTATATCAAGATGTGTGGTCTGAACACAAGCAAGAGGACACACAAACCAAAACTCAGGAACATACTACGAAATAAGCCTGTATTCTTGTAAATGTGAATGTCATGAAAAATAAAAAAGGCTGAGTTCAGACTGAGGGAGACCAAAGAAACAGAGCAACTAAATTCAGTGTAATATGGGATTAGGCCCTGAATTACCAAAAAACAAACAAACAAAAACACCAGCTAGAATTTGGGACCACAATTTGAATTTGAGCTACATATGAAATAATAGCGTTTTCAAAATTAGATTTTTTGAACTTGGTAAGGATACGGAGGTTAGGTAACGAGACGGCTTAGGCATTACGCTCACGTATTTAGGAGTAACGGAGATGATGTTTGCGACTTGCTCCCAACAGTTCAGTAAAAACAGAAGTGAAAGAGGAATAAGCTAAAACAAACGTGGGAGTGTTGACCACGGCAACCTGGGATGAGGGTCCATGGCGGTCACTGTGAGCGGTCACTGTGATATTCTTGCAACTTGTTAGAGGTGTGACTTTTGGGGGGGAAAGGTAGGTGTCGGGTTCAAATACCATCTCCATCACACTGACTAGCTGTGCAGCTCAGGCAATGACAAAGCCATCGCTGGCTTACGTTTCCCGAGCTATAAACTGAAGGAAATGAGGGCCCCGCCTCACAAGGTTTTAGTGAGGATAAAATCAGCAGCCCCGGAGCGCCCGGGACACGCCAGAGCGGTGACAAGCAGCGTGCTGGCGAGTCCTGGCGCGTCTAAAATGGAATCCACTTCCTTTCCAACTTAGCCTTGTGGCCCGGACCGCGGCTTCCAGCATCATGGTCCAGCCAGTTTTCTAGGCCAGAAACGTCATTCTTCGAGTCCCCCAGAATTCTGGCCATCCCATTACCACAGCAGAGTGCACAGCTACGACAATGTGCTTGTCTCTGTCTCCACCAGACTGAGCTGTCTCAGCTAAACTGGAGTGCAGGGCAGGAGGCAAGGAGCCTCCCGGAGAGAGAGCAGGTGGCAAGAAGGCTCCGAGAGAAGAGGTGGCCCCAGGAAGGCTGGCCGCACCGGAACACAAAAGGTGGCGAGACAGAGGGGCGTGAGGTGAGGCCGCCACGGACAGAAGGGACCACAGAGTGTCTTCAAAACACACCCGTGAGGCGGGTGCTGCGGGCCCGGTGGGACCTCCTCTCCCCTCAAAGACACGAAGGCAAAGCAGAGAAGACGGGGCACGCCAGAGCAAGAAGACAGAGGACAGCTGGGCCTTGCCGCCCTGAAAAGCCAGTAACATGCGAGCCCAGCATTTGAGTGGACAAAGACAGCAGGCCTGCAGGGAGGGACTGAGGTGCCTTTGATTCCCGGCTCGGCTCCGGAGGCACCCGACGGGGGAGGTGCAGGAAGCAAACCGGCCACAGCCAGCTGCCTGGCCCGACTAAGGGACTCTCCTGGGGCACCAGCCCCGCGCCTGCACCCCCAACGTGCCTTACACAGTGTCAGTACTGCTCACCAGCAGAGGCAGCTTTCATCAGCAACTGGCTGAACTCGATGGCGCCTCCTTTTCTGAAGGACAGTTTGAAAGTCGCCTGTCCTTCCCAGCCACCTGTGGGGAGAGACAGCACACACACACTGCAAGGCTGGCAGCGCTGGCCGCCTCGGACGCCGAGCGAAGCGCTGCCCGCGAGGCAGGCAGTTTTCATTTCAATGCCAACGTGACCCAAGTCTGAATGGAGGCCTCTAGAGGCTTCTGAGGAACCAGAAACACCTCTGCGGGAGAACACTTACCATCCGGAGCTGCGTGGATGGTTCCTTGAATGTAGTTGGGGGAGAAGACGGGCTGTTCGACGGAGCAGTTACTCAACAGGTCAAACGGCATCATGAAAGAGACCATGGGGTCGCTGGCTGCGTGGGAATTGATGAAGATCACCTGAGAGGGAGAGGAACTTTGGAAAAGGGGCGCAGCTGTCCGTGGACGCGATCCGCCAAGAGCCACCCCAAGGTCAACGGCTCCGGCGTCCCGGCCTGGCCAGAGACGGCGCCCTTCTGTTCCATCCGCCCTTCTGTTCTATCGCACTGCAGCAAGGAACGTCTCAGTGCAAACGTTTTGCAACACTTTGAAAGTCTATGTCTAGGTATCTGTGTTTAAGGAAAACAAATGCCGAGTTAATCAGATCAAAGTAGAAGCAGAAGTTACCCGGTATGAAGTGAGAAACAACATCCCCCTCTTTGTACCCTTAAAGAGCTGGGATCCGTCCGGCCGCTGCAGGAAGGAGAGCTCCACGTCCTCGCAGTGCTTCAAGACGCTGGGGAGAGAGGGCACAGGCGCGACTCAGCAGCTCCATCCGGGGCCCTCAGCCCCGCTCCCAGCCTGCAGCCAGCACTCACTACCGCAGCTGCCCGCAGCCTGCTGCCCGGCTGAAGCACAGGCGCCCCACGGCGCAGTAACGAAAGGCAGGTAAGTCACAACCTCTCCCCGCTGGGGCATGCCGAAGAAAGGACAAGTCAGACTGGAGAAAATACCCGAAAATCCTGTCCCTGATAAAGCTCAATACCCAGAGTCCACAGACCCTTACTCGCAAATGGCTCACGGAAGAGTCCGTTTAGAAGCAAGGGCCTCCCGGCCGCGGCTGGCTCAGCACTGCGAGCTGCCTGGTCCCTGCTGCCGGCTTCCTCGCCAGGGAGTGGCCCGGGGCCCCGCAGGCCTCTCCTGTCTCCCCTGCTCCCCTCCCGGTGTGCTGTGGTCCATGTGCCTGCTGCTCCCCAATGACCTCTCACCCGCACCCCTCCTCCCCGTTACACCCAGGCCTTGCGTGCAGATAAAACCTTTAAGGAAAAGAGACCAGGTCAGGCGAGGCCGCCCGCGTCGAGCCGACACACGGGGAAATGAGGTGAATCGAGGCCAAACAGGAAAACCTGAGCAGGCACCCAACGCCAGGGGGTGGGCAGCATTCCCGGCGAAGGATGGGGGCAGCAGCCCGGGGCCTGTCTGAACCGACCGTCCCACAGGCGCATCCCAGGCTCGGCCTGGCGGCTCCTGCTCTGCGCCGGCGTCTCCCAGAGGCAGGGCGGCCATTTCCCTCGTCAGGGCCACGGGGCCTTCAGGGGGCCAAGAGCGGTGCGGCCGCCCGCAGCTCGGAGTCTTTCCAGAGTGGTCCGCACACAGCTCTTCTGCCTCCGCAGAGCCCAGGGCCTTGGTCCGGGGACGGTCTCAGCCCGGCCAGAAGGCCCCAGCCCGGCCGGCCGCCCTCGAGCAGCCGCTCCCGCCGCCCGGCTGCCCGGACGCGAACCCTCATCGCGCCTGCGCATGCGCCACAACCCTCGCGCATGCGCCCCTAGGCGGGGGTGGGGGCGGAGCCAGCGTGACTCTCCGGAAAAGGCGGGAAGGTTCCCGATTCGCTAAGTGTCTGGGAGCCGCCCGCTCCACCCCCCTCATAGTTCGCTCCCCCGACGACGCCCTGCTTCTCCTCAGTCACCTCTCGCCGTAAGGGATGACGACCCCGCGGCGGTTCTCTGTGTGGCTCTGATTCACCGCCATCTTGCTCGGGCCCTGCTGCCGCCCCGCAGATGGGAAGGGGCGGGGCCTGCGCCCAGCCGTGGGCGGGGCTCTGAAGAGGCTGGAGGACATTATGGCGCAGGGGGGCGGGAGGCGGCGCTCGCGAGCCACGCGGGGTGCAGACCCACCCGCGATGGCAATGGCAGAGGCGGGGCCGGGGGTCTCTCCGCCGGCTGTGGAGGGTGAATGAGGGGTGCCGCTGGCTCCACCCACCCTTCTCTGGGCACGTGCATGACTGCCCCTCCGCTCCGGCTCTGGGCGGGATTCCAGCCTGTCCGCAGTCAACGTGGGCAGCAGGGTCTGGAAGCTGCCACCTCTTGAGGATGGCCTCTATTCCTCCCCTCTCCTAAGGGGACCAGAACTTTCTTTTCTTTCAAAGATTTATTTTTATTTGTGCATAAAGAACTGGGGTACAGGCCAGAGGTGCAGGCTGGTGTGGTGGTGATGAGAGGAGTCACCAGAGACAGAGTGGGGAGCAACACAGGCGTATTCACTGAAATCCACTGCTGAGGGGAGCAACGGGGAGACAGAAGAGATCTGCTGCACCATGTGGGTCACCCCCTGGCCAGGGATGGACTAGTGTTGCAGTGGCTGCGGCTGGCTTCATTGTAGTGCTGCACTTTAACCAGTGGGCCATCAGGGTGGGCTCAGGGGCCCAGAACTTTCTTCCAAAGGAGACCTCCTGGGCTGAGATTGAGTTTCTGGTGAGGCCACATCAGGAAAGGGGGCAAGAGCTGGGCCAGGCCATCAGGGGACATTTCATCCCTGCACAAGTCTCTGGTGCCAGCTCTAAGTTGAGTCTGTCAACGCTTATGCCTGCCCTGCCACCTCCAAAGGTGTGCGGCAGCCACGTCAGCACGAGCTCGATCCTCAGCCAGGGAGGTGACCCACGTGCCACAGCAGACCTCTCCTGTCTCAACCGCTGCTCCCCTCAGCAGTGTACTTCGTCCATCAGCCTGTTCTGCTCCCCACTGTCTCTGGTGAACCCTCTCACCACCCCTACACCTCTGACCTGTACCCCAGTTCTGTCTGCATAGATAAATAAATCTTAAAAATTTAGTGTTCACTATAAAACAAGACAGCTCTCTAGACAAGATGGCCTATAGGCTGAGCTTTCCTACCTTCTCGGAAAAGGAGGGGAAAGCTAGAAATCGGATGAAAGGTTTTCAACAAAAGCCTCGGGCAAAGCCAGCACCAGTCAACATGGGTGTGAAGTGCCATCACTCTTGGGTATAAAACCCAGGGATGACAACGGTGTCCAGCCCCGCACCAACTGAAGATGAGCTGACCTCACCAAGTGTCTTCCAGTTCATTCCTGTGGTTCCTCCTTCCCAAGGGGTCCTTGTCTTGCCCCCACACGTCGAGGCGATGAGTGGCTGATTTGAGCAAGGGTGGAATAAGACACAGACCCGTTGTTCAAACAGCAATGTTTAGTTGTACAACACAAAGTCTAGCAACATTTACACAACCAGTTTGTCTGTTGGCTTGTTTTCAGTGGGAAACTTAACCAGAACGTCTCCAGAAGGTTGGCTGGGACTGGTCACATTTAGGAAATGGGTCGTCCTTGCATCCCCTAGGCTTGGGCCTTACTCCACTAGGACTTGGTGTTCGATGAGTGGCCCACAGTCACCAGCCTCAGCAAGTTGTGTCCAGGTGGAGATGGGGAACAGAGGTTGAGGGGGATTCCCTAAGACACAGTGTGGGGGCAGTGAGTGGCAGCGACATTCGCAAACATTCATGCATCTGTTGGGGGCTTCACCTCCACTGGGTATTTCCCACTAGCCTCCAGTGGCCGAGTGTGGCCAGGCTAACTCACTACTCACATTGACGGGGTAGAGGTGGGAACAGGAGTCCTCAGGGTGGGTGGGAAGAGATCCCTCTTATTGCTAAGTAGACAGAAGGGTGCTTTTTTCTTTCTCGAGTCACATCTCATGCGTTTCTGGAGTTTCGTGTGTGTTTAGTTCTTTTTTTTGAGTGATTAGGAAGTCAACTCCAGAAACCTCTATGGGAAAACTACTCTTCCTCAAGGGCTGTGTTATATGGGAGGATGTGAAACCTCTCTCAGGGCCGGCCACATGTGATTTTTGAAGAAGCGCCCCTAGCCCTCACTCCCTCCCACCTGTAACGGCCCACCCTGATAAGCAGTGAAGGAGCCACGGTTGTCCCACGTTGGGGTGCACACAGCTGCTCAACACATCTGACAGGCAGAAAAGCAGCTTTCTTGCCCCTCTAAGGAAGCCAAGAGTAGCTCATGCAGATGGATGATCGGGAGCAAGGCCGCCCTCGCGGGTGGCGACGAGTAGCTGGGATGGGCTGGGAAGAAGCTCGTGACGAGTTCTTCCACCCTACAGATGGGCCGGGGCCGGCAGACAGACGCTGGAGGGCAGTGCTGGCAAGAGCTCCGTTCCATGGGGTGGGGGTGGGTTGGACAGATGGGGGGGCAGCTGGCCCAGAGGGGCAGCTGGGCCCTCCCACCTGCGGGGGGCTGGGCGGGACAAGGACCGCAGAGAGCCTGGCCCTGCGGCGATAGCAGCCGAGAGGGTGGAGGGAGAAGCCGCTTGAAATGGCCTTCATTCAGCAGCGGGGCAGGGGGTGGCCGGCACAGGTGGAAGGACAGTGCCCAGGAGGCCTTCTCCCTGCAGGGGTTGAGAACGGTTGAGGGTGTGGACGCTGGCAGCTGGCAGCAGACGTAGAAAATAGCTTCTCCAGGGGGCTCGGATGAGGGTTTAGGGGCGCCTGCCATGTTCTCCCACCCAGCCCCTCCAATGCCCGCCCCCGCCCCAGAGCTTCCCCGCTAGGCCTGGGCCTGCACTGCCCTGTCCCCACGCACTGCTGGCCAGAGGAGCCAGGCGCGGACCCTCCTCTGTTGAAATGTGACACCCGGGGTTCTGACCCTGCTGCCGTCTGCCCTGGCAGGTGCGCCCCCAAATCCCTTTGCGGATAAGGAAGATGCGGGCTGGACTGGTACGGGGTCTCCGGGAAAGACTGAGACCGCAGGTTCTGGGGTCCTGGCCATGTGGCCACCCACTTTCTGCTGGTCACCGAACCTGGCCTGAAGTCTGTGTTTCCTAGCACCTGAGTGATTACTAGAAATGCTGGGATTTGTGGAGGCGGGGCCAGGGCTGGCCTGGAGAGAAGGGGACGGGAGAGGTGGTGCCATTTCCCTTGCCTGAGGCTAAATTGTTTCCCACCTTAGGGATCACTGAGAAACAGCCAGCAGGGGACACAGAGTGCTGAGAAGTGCAGGGCGAGAGGACAGCAAGGAAAGGCTAAGTGCACGTAACTACACAGAGTGGGCACGGAGATGCCGGGGTGCGGTCAGCTTGGGCGGAGGGGGCGGGGGCGGGACCAGGTGGGGAGAGGAGGTGTGGTTTTAAAGTTTGTGAAGCCAAAGCAAGGCGAAAGACAAATAGCGTGTGTCGTTCCAGATACTTTTTTCGACTCAGTACTTCTATAACTTAATGCCGGAAAGATGGCCGGCACACGGCTGCCCACACGCCCGGCCACGGGGCTGGCGGCTCAGTCCGCGCTGCGGGCCTCAGTCTGGACTGTCCCGTGCCTTCAACTGGGGCTTTATTCTGAAGGCTGAGGGAGCAGACTGTATGTCCTGACCACGGAAAGGAAGCTCAAGTCACACAGGAAGTGAGAAGCCAGGAGGCTGGGGGAGGGGGCAGTGCAGAGCCCGTGTGGACAGCAGAGGGTGAATCCAGAGCCACTGAGTATGGACAGTAATGGGGGGGTGCGGAGCCAGGTGAATATAGACAGCTGTGGGGGGACAGTGTGGAGACAGTG